TCGGATCTGTTCTCGCAGAACCTCCGACGACCGTCCGAACTTCCGTCGAACTCTCGAACTCCCAACGTGATCATGAACTTGACTCCGGCGCAACTCCTGCTGCTTGTCTATCTTTCATCGTAGTTAATCCTGCACACTTATCTCGACACATAGATTAGACAACAAATGACAATTGACTTCATCATCAAAATCCGAGATTCAACAAATGCGACACACATTAGAGATGTCATACGAGAGACTTGATCATACGAAAGTATGATTGGCAGCTATTGGGAGCTCCACTTCAGTAAACAACATGACGACAAGAAAAACTATGGATTCAAATAGTGAATGTTATGGTATTGCATAGGTTGATCTTTTATTCGTGTATCAAATTTTGTATTGGATAAAAGCTTTAGTTATCAGCATATTGGGATTATGTACTACCGAAAGGGAATTCCAAGTGTAAGTACTAGTGAGTCCCATGGGAGAGACTTGATCATATAGAGGTATAATCAGAACGGTTGGATAATTAGACTGCTCTAGAGCTCATATTTGCTTAAAGGAGCCCGACAAGTCAGAGGATAAGTCCAAATAAAAAAATGTTACTCCCAACAACACAAAGGAAAATAAAATCAACATGAGCCCTACAACATGATGGCAAAAGCCATGCATGAGAGTTACAATCTATTTTTCCATCAACCAAGAGGAATTGCTTGGAGAATATAGAGATGTTGAAGTAGGTGGTCAAAGGAGCAAGGAAGCAACAACAAATATAAAAAGACTCAACTATCCAAAACCAAGCGTAAGTTAGAATAGAGGTAGACTCAAGAGAGTATCATAGTGCCACAGAGGCAGATCTACTGATCACAAAAAAAGGGACACAGATGCGAGACGATGAATAGTATGATCATGAGCATGCCAACACCATGGTATTTTAGAGACGAGACTTTCATAAAATCATTAATCCCTTACTTTTATGAAAAAAAAACGCTTGATTGTAAAAGAGACCGAGGGGCCAAAGCCAAGAAACTTTATAGGTTGATACAAAAGTGCTCGACCAAAAAATGCTATATATTTTCTACTCAGAAAAGTTAGTATATATATGTATCATAACTAACCAATTTAGACCCATTGTTACGCGATCATTCAGAGTTTACAAAATTTATATTTATAATTTATATTATCTATCAAATATTTATTGAAATGAGTCCTTATGAATCCCTAATTAAATGCTAACCTATCTTCTATTTTACAAGGGACCGTAACATAAACAAACAGAATCAACTAAATCAATAGAATCAGATTGCAAGACTAACCCTTTGTAAACGAACATTCAAGAATACTAATATACCAATTAGATAAAAGATAAAATCAACTAAATCCATGATAACTTTGTCGAACAGAATAAAAAATTTATACACCTCTCAAACATATCCAAGAGCCAGACGAATCTGATTGTCCAAGTTACTAAGACAGCCAAATGCCACAACCAACCTATAACACACCAAAACAGAGTTGTTTTAACTATCTTCCTTTGGCGCAACATTGATTTAACTTACCATATTTCTGAGTTTTACTAAATAGAAACAGAATACAAAAACAATGTCAAAAGCAAAATTAGTGTCGACAATGCACACCCTGTGAATATTACAAATGAGAAAAAACTTGAAAACATCAAAAAACACACACAAAAAAAAAAGAAAGAGAGAGAGAGTCAAAGACCATAGCACACCATGAAATTCTCCCACGATAGCCTATCACATTATGCCTAGGAGTCACTGTTTCTGATCTCACCTAAGGCAGCAAGGCTTGTTTGTCATGCTTCAGTCCCTCTAACCGCACACCTTAATCACACACACCCAACCAGATAATCAGATGGCCTCGAATGCCAGTTCCTTGCTTCAGGTCAAGGCTTCGAATCATCATCACGATGCTTTATGTGCCTGTTGCTCTTTCACTTAATGTGACGGTCTTCTCAGGTGAGGTATAATGCATCAAGTGGCCCTGCAAATTAAAAAGAAAAACAAAAGACATCACATTCATAAAGTATTTCTCAATTATAATACTAAATCAGAAGGTTGGGATGAACACTGCATGTTAATTGTCCTTCTTTAACATATACCATTTTGATGCAACATCGTTTCTACATTAAGTCCCAAGTTCCTGAGCACATATTTTGGGTTGTCCAATCCCCTGAATTCTTGTGGCTGCTCATATAAACAAGTAGACAGATATCTGGTTCATGACCAAGATGGAGGCTGTAGCTCGGGTAACAAGGCATATCTACAATGCGAAAAGGCACATACTCCTCTTATCCTGACAACCAGAAACAGCTGCAGCCTTGTGAGACACTTCTTTGAACAGATCTGTAAGGGCGCACCGACAAACAAGAACTATTCATAATCCGAACTGCTGTTTTTGCCGCTGTGCTTCATACTCGCAGAGGCTTTCAGAACCCATTTGGTCATGCTGTTCCACCCTCCTGACCATGTTTGAAAAAACCAACTCCACCTGTACCAGAAAAATACATACTTGAGGAAAGACTGAAGACTGAGTAACTCAGAATCTAAGGTTCTGCATTACCAGCTTTTTATGAATGTTGCTAGCAGAATCAAAGAGTGATTCACTTTTGCCCATAAGAGAGTGGTGCAAGGAAAACTCAACGCAAGGAAGCCCAGAAATCACTATATATATATATATATATATATATATATACATATATATATATACATATACATATATATATATACATATACATATATATATATACATATACATATATATATATACATATACATATACATATATACATATACATATACATATATATATATACATATATATATATATATATATACATATATATATATATATGTGTGTGTGTGTGTGTGCGTGTGCATATACATATACATGTGTATATATGTATACATACATATATATATACATATATATGTATACATATGTATATATATATACATATATATCCATTATGAGTTATTAAATTTTCCATATTATATGTTGTTTTATGTGACTATGATTATGAATCTTGGAATCATTGCCACCTTACTATGACCACTTGCGGAAAAAAAAAAAGAAACTCTCTAAAACATCTATCAGATATTCAAGCATGGCCCTATCACATAATCAGAACTTCCTGTTTGTTTCTTATGAGAAAGGAATGATCAATACATCACATCACCTGGGCAACAAACTGTTCGATCAGAAAAATAAGGTAATCGGCAGTGTATTAATAAATGTGCGTGTATACAGAAGCTAAGATGTATTAATAAATGTACGTGTATACAAAAGCTAAGATGTATTAATAAATGTGTGTGTGTGTATATATATATATATATATAATATGAAGTGAGTTCTTTACATCTCAACAAAAGCTAAGAGAAAAATCACTTATATATCAGTATTTGGTATCAAGCAATCTGTTCTATCTGCGGACATACCACTCATCTGAATTCTATCGTCACCTCCATGGCTCCAACCTACAAACTTAGGGTTCCTGTTTCACAGGTCGTGATCAGCTTTCAATGTGAAATGTATTCTAATCATTATGTTTTGACATCTTAGATTAACTTATATCAATGAATTGCTATCAATGCAGCATGTATTGACATCTTAATCATTATGTTTTATCTAAGGCAAACATGATGAAGTTAGTTGCAAATGTCAATAGCTTATCCCGAAGTCCCCTGTCCGGAAACAACAAACAATTAGCGAGATATCCTGTGTTACGGATGATGTAAAAAAGTCAAATGAACATCACAATTATTCTAGCATATCGTATATTACAGAAATTCATGTCAAATTAACATAAAACTATGCAGAAAGAGGTGAAGCTAATTCAGGAATGAATCTTATATGCAATCTATTTTTCCCAACAATAAGCAATAAAAAAGTAATAGGCTCTACCTAATCAAGGTTCCAATGCGAGGGATATTATGAACTGCATACTGAAGGAGGAGCTGAATCAGTATCCTCTCCTCAGGTCCACCTTACATAGCACTGGTCACCAATGAGACTCAAGAATCAATTGAAATTCGAAGATGAGGTCCACTATTTTCTTGAGATGCAGACAACAAATTACTGACTGTGCTTATTATATAATCTTTATTAATAGAAGATGAATTATGTCAGTCCAGTTTTGTAATTCTCCTGACATGTCAACCATAACTATATTCATTAAATTTGTCTATTTGGGACTAATCATGGTGCATTATGCCACCTCTAGGCCATAAATCTTATCAAAGTGGAAACCAAACTATATATCCTAACATTTTTTTTGTGTTCAACAATGAATGGGAAAGTCATGATGTTGTAATCAATCCTGTTGTAATGGTTTAAAACATTGAATGACGTTTCATGCAAACTGGTATAAAACAAATGGTACATACCAATCCAAGCATGTTTCGGGCAGTAAAAAATAGTTTTCCCATCAATTAGGGCTCACGAACGCAAGCCCGCACCCTCTTCTCCATGCACAGGAAGCGTGGAATCGCTACTTTCTCTAACGCGCTCTCTCACCCCTCCTCTTAGGTCCCCTCCCCACTTCACTATCAGTGAAGTCAACACACTCAGGCGCTCGCCTTGGCACCCAAGTGAGGTGAGGCGAGGCCTAAGCACTTGTTAACTGGTCCAAGTAGGCGCCTTCAATTGGGTGCGGTCCGGAAGCATGCCTAGGCCGAAGCACCACTGGGCAGGCCAAGTGCCCACCTGAGTGAAATCGAGTTTGGGTCGAGCCTATTCATTAATTCTAGTTCGGTCAAACTAGATCAACACCTCTTCAACTTAACCCCCCTCCCTCTGTGCGAACATATGGCCAAGTGCCCACCTGAGTGAAATCAAGTTTGGGTCGAGCCTATTCATTAATTCTAGTTCGGTCAAACTAGAACAACACCTCTTCAACCCAACCCCCCTCTCCCCGTGAGAACGTATGAGCCCCTACCCCCTTTAGAATCCCAATTGAGGAATAGAAGAGTGTGATCATTGTCTTCCTCTCTGTCAGCAAACAGTGGTGACGGCATCTTCCTCTCCATCAATAAAAGATGACAACATCTACCTCTGACGAGCTCTTCCTCCCGGACCCCAACAGCACCTCTTTCCCTCCTCCTTCATCACAGTCTCCTACATCCCCTTGTCACCCGAGCTTTCTCGAAACACGAGATCTTTCCCAAAGCTTGACTGCCTCGTCTTCTACCGCTGCCCCCCTTTCTTCATTAGGATTCTTCCACCACCTCTCCCCCTCTGTCACCCACATCTTCCCCCCTTTCGCTGCAACCCTCCCCCTATTGTCCTCCTCACACAGCCAACAACTTCCCTTACCTCTCCCTCCTCCCAAGCTTCCTCGACAACCTCCTCCTCCTCCCTGATACCTCCCCTCCCAACTCTTGAACCCTAACAGCCCCCTCTCCTTCCTCCTCCTTTCCCTCCCAATCGACAACCACCCAACCGAGAGCAACCCACCTCCAATACCCAACAGCCCCCTCCCCTTCTCCTCGGATAGCTCCATGCTCCCCTCTCAGCTGATGGCGACCCCCTCTCCATCCTCCTCCTTCTATATTATTTTTTATCAATATTTTTTAATTTTAATATTCGAGAGTATGCTACTTCACTCGAGCGAGTGCCTTGCATCTAGGGTGTTTTAATACCTTGGTGTCATTTAGCGCCCAGCGCCTTTGACGACACTCGTCACTGTAGCCTCCTCCTAATAATATGCTACAAAAAAAAATACTCCCCCGGCCCAGTCTCTTCTGGGCTAGATGGTACCAGGTTATAGTGCCAGTATGTCAGATCTGTACCAATCCTGTGCTGGTTTAGGCTGCAAGCGGCATCAAAACTGGACCAAATTTTAAACCTTGGTTGTGGGTGCCAATAGCATTTGCTTGTCCACTTTGAGGCTAGTCTGGCAAGATGCAGTCATTGTCTTAGCGTTCTTGCAAAGGGGGTACATCAGTCACACTATACAAATCATTATCATTATCATTAACATAACCATCGACCCTTCCATTAAGTATTCAGGCTTTTCCCCAGTACTCTTGTTGAAAAGTTTAATTTGGCTAAAATGCTAGAATGAGATAGATTTGTAAAGTTAATGGAAAGGAGGTAAATTAATTGGTTGGTTGATTCTTAGTTAAAAAGTCGATAGCATATTTACCATGAATAACCAAACTTTTCTAGTAACTCTATCAAGTCATGGGGATGAAGAAATGAGAGACTTAATCACAAGAAGAAATTATCTTTTTTTCTTTAACAAGCTTCCAGAAAAGAATAAAAAAAGGAAACACTATTTTTGGACCAAACAAGTATTTGGTGACCAGTGGACTGAGTCACCGCAATGAAATCAGGATTGAATTGTGGATCTAAGTCTAACTTTGAGAAGAAAAGAAATAGGGACTTGATGGGGCTTCCGCACCCAGCCAAAAAGAGGGTGCCATGTATACATGGATAATTGATGCAAGGTCTATACAGCCTTACCCCTACAAGTATAGAGATTGTAACCGCACACCAGTCATGGTCGCCAAAAGATCTGTGCAGGTTCTTGACAAGCAATCAAGATTTTCTTCATTGCTTACGTAATCTTTTGAACCCTACTCTCATAACTTAGAACAAAGTATCAACAAAAATCGAGTTGGTATTACCTAAATAACTTTGTAGGACTCAGTTTCCCAACAATACCATAATATCCCAATCTTGTTCGTTCATTATCTTCTTCTTCTTCTTCTTTTTCTTCTTCCTATATTTGTGACAATTGGAAGGACATTGCACCGTAAAGAATTATAAACATAATCAATCAATCGAGAGAAAGAACAAACCCTAGAAAAAATAATGTCAAATTTTGCTCAAATTTGTTGATGAGACATCCGTGAGTAAGCTTTGAGGCATTGGATCTGACCTTTCGACGAACAGAATTAGAAGCCAGATCAGGCGGTATCTATTTCTTCCAGATCGGAAGAAATCGGAAGCCTCCTCGTTCTTCTACCCTTCCAAATCGTAAGCCTCCCAGCCAAGGACTAATACACCGTCGTCTTCGTCGGAGGGCCTCTCCGTGGCCCTCGTCGATGTCGTCCTCCCCGATGCGGGTGGGAAGTGGGGAGACGGCGGCTCGGGCGAAGGCCTCCATTACGGAATCCCCCCCAAGGGCGCGCAGTCCTTGAGCCCAGCGTCCTCCAGCCTCGGCGGAACGAAGGAGGCAGCCTCCGCCGCGGCCTCGTGGAGCACCATGCCCCTCTCCTCCGTCGCCCCCCATCCCCAGTAGATGTTTCGAAAGACGCACCGGCGCGTCCTACGTTACTGGATCAATCTCTTATAGCCAGATCCAACTAACTGATCCGGCCCGAAAAGTTATTGGGCCAAGCTCAAACCATATTGACCTACGTTTGGCACTTATCATGTCCATAATATGTTAATTCCTTTATAAATATTTGTTTATATTTTTTATAATTAGATTGAGTTTTGTTTAAGGGATAATTTTCACAGTAAAATTAATATCCAATATATTATTTCGTTTATTTTATTAGAAAAGAATCTGAGGCACTTTTTGGAGGTATATTACAAAAGGATAAAAAAGGCTTCCTAAATAGAGTGGTTTTGAATCCTATACGGATTAGAAAGTTGAAGAGTTGAATGCTGCCAAATGTGATTCTTCTCTCAGAAACATCCTTTCAAGTCTTGCAGTAGCCTAACCGTGGAATTAAAGGTTAAATGAGATGCCTACATTGGCTAAACGCCATTGTTGAGCATTACTAGCTCGTCATGTGGCTCCAAACAAGAATGGTCATGGTGATAAGGAGAAGTAACCAGGTCACATGCACGGGTAAGACGATCTCTGCTCGATGAGCTGCGCCTGTGACGGAAGGAGCCAAGTCGCAAGAGACCAACGCTTCCGCCTCCACCCAAGACTCAATCACTAGTTCACTTTAACCAAGAACGGCTGTGTGTCAGGAACATGGTGAAGCAATCCTTTCGCCGACACCAGCCGTGAATGGTGGGCAAGTGGGTGGCCGTATGCTTCTCCCTAGCACTCGGGTGCTACCGTGATCACTCTTCTTCTTCTTCTTCTTCCATGTGGTGTTCTGGTGATTCTTTTGAGGCTGTTGAGGTGAATGCACTGTTCTATTTCCCTGAGGAAGAAGGTCAAGTGTTCTTCTCCACCCTCTTTTTTGCTGCATTCCAGAGAGAGAGAGAGAATCAGAGTTATAATTGCTTTTGTCCTCAAGCAGCTACGAGCGATCGAGCAAGACAAAAGCATGGCAACATAAGAGCATCTCCGTACCTTTATCTTCTGCAACACACTACGAGAAGAACTGATAAGAATCCAACCTTAACAATTAGTAGTGGCACTAAACAAATGAATTAAGAGCGATACAACATTCAACTGCTTTTGTTCTCCTATAAATGTATTCTCGTCTTCCTTCTTTTTCGTGTTCTACTTGGGGGAGGAGGAAGACAGTACATGTGATAACAGAGAGTTTTTAGCTCACAGACGAAGCAAGAGTCAACAATGGAGAAGTTCAACAATAAAGGCAGCAGCGCCAAGCTGAAGCATCGCCTCACTTGGATGCTGCTCGGCTCCTCTTGCACCACCACCACTACCATTGCAGAGGCCGCCCCTGATCCCTGTACAGATTTCCGCTACCGCAACAGCCGCCCCAGTCGTGCGACCGACGACCACCGCCCCCGCCGCGTCGACCCAGTCGGGCGTGTCAAGCCACTCTTTTTCTTGATGAACAAGAAGGAGAATGATAAGGAAAAGAGGGCACTGATCGAGTCTGTGAGTCCGTCTGAAGGTAAGCAGCGGACCAAGGAAGCCTCTGAGAGGAAGAAGAAGAAGAAGAAGAAGACGAAGAAGAAGAAGCAGAAGAAGGTGTTGTTCGATGCTTATGGATTCACCAGCTCTTCTTCCTTGGACAGCGAGAACGATCACGATCTCTTCAGCAGTGATGAAGAGGAGAAAGACGAGGACGAATCAGGGACTCTGTTCTCATCCAAGAGCTTCTCCACCGAATCCTCTGAATTCTACCACAGCAGCAGGAAGAAGAAGAAGAAGAAGAAGAACACGAGGAGAAAGAGCATGAAGTCCACCCGGCGCCCGCCAAGGAGACGTGTGAAGCATTCCCAAGAACCGCAGCCGCTGGTCTCCATCTCATCGTCCGAGAAGGAAACGAAGCCAGAGGCAGCGGCGTACATTGCCGGGTTCCCGGTGGTGAAGCGATCCACCGACCCTTACGGCGATTTCAGGAGCTCAATGGCGGAGATGATCGTGGAGCGCGGCATGAGCAGAGCTCGCGACTTGGAGCGGCTCCTCCACGCTTACCTCCACCTCAACTCCCCTCGTCACTATCAGGCCATCCTCGAGGCGTTTTCCGATGTATGCGAAGCTATCTTTGGCAAATAGCTGAGCACTTGGATCGACAGTGTAGATTACAGTGTTCATATCGTTGTTCCACATCAACAGTCTAACGCCCTTATCGCTACCTGCACTCTAATTGAAGCTCGATCCTGCTCTGTTCTCTCTGGATTTGTAGATGTCAGCTCACTATCTACTGTACTTAAGGAACCATAATCACACATCCATGTTCCATGGGAGAACTCAAATTACATGAGGCAATTATCACCTTCATGACCTCCTTTTATTTCTCTGTCATTGTGTTTACATGATATCAAGCTACTGTGTTGGCCATTGTAACCACACTGTGACATTTATGTTGAGATGAACGAAGCTTAGATTCCATGCTGCTGCTATACGTGACCCCAACCACATTGAAATCAAGGTCTAAAATGTGACCAAATGGAAGCCAAATCTGGATTCAATTGTCCTTCCGGTATCGCACCTCAGTGACTACACCTCGTGGGTGTGGATTCTCTTGTCGGCAGCCGCATAGGATTCAGGGTTTTCTCGAGCACAAGATTGAGCTGATCTTGGTCGTCCAAGCTGTTTGGGACCGAACACATGAGCTGCACTGTTAGGGTTCTTCTCGAAATCGAGGCCTTGGATCCTTCTCTTCTTCCTCGTCGTGGAAGCACGCCATTTTACGTCAATCATGGAGAAAGATGCCGTCTTCCAAAGACAGCAGTCACTGAATCGGTCCGGGGACGGTTGATACAGTCCCCCATTAAGTGGAGCGAGCTCTCTCCACTCTCCTTTGCTTCTTCCACCACGCTGTCTCTTCTATAAAAACCCTGGCTAATCTTCTTCTCGTCATCGTCCACCGAGTGTGTTAGTTCTTGGTGTTCGTGCTGGTTGACTCCATGGATCGCTTCCGTTCTCTTCTTACATTGTTCTTAGTGAGTGGAGCGAGCTTTAGACGTCCTCTGTTCTCGATTTATTTTGCGTTGTAAGTTTCTTTCTCTCGATCTTCTTCTGTGTTCTGTTCCGTTTCAGCTTGCTGTAGTCGGTCATGCAGCGTTGCCTCCTCGGCTGGTGGACTGGAACTCGGTCGTCCCCAACACTCCCATGCCGAGCGCCATCAGTGATCTTATAAACCCTGGTCTCTCTCTGTTTCTTCTCTGTTGTCGTTCGCCTCTCTTCTTGGATGCTAACAAGCAATGAAATGCTTGGTCTTATGTTTGCAGATGTCACTGATGAGCAGAAGTCAGGTACCAATGTGAGCGTCGGCATGGGAGGCGTGAACGTGAGCTCCAAGGGGGATATTGGCGGCGCCACCGTCAAAGTCGGCGAGGGCAGCGTCCATGTGGGCACCTGGAAGCCCGGTGGCGGAACCACCTTTGATGTCGGGGAAGAAGGTGTGAACGTGAACACCAGCCACGAGGGGGGAGGGCGGCCCGTTGTTGTCAGGGTGCCTTTCAGCAGTGGCTTGTCCTTCTCATATGCTGCCGCCGAGAGACAGATCCATGATGACCCCAGCGTCGCCCTCTTCTACCTGGAGAAGGGCTTTAAGTCAGGCTCCAAGTCGAGCGTACAATTCAAGAAGACCACCACCGGCGCAGCTTTTCATCCGCGAAAAGAAGCAGAGTCCATACCCTTCTCGTCGGCGAAGCTCCGGGAGATTCTTAACTACTACGGCGTCAATCCTGGTTCAGCAGAAGCACTGGTGATGGAGAAGACGGTTCAAGAGTGCGAGAACCTGGCAGCGAGGTGGGGAGGCGCAGTTCTGCGCCACCTCGCTCGAGTCCATGGTGGAGTTCAGCATGTCGAGCCTGGGGACACGCGACGTCACGGCGGTGTCGACCGCCGTCGGCAAGGCGGGCTCGACGCTGCAGCTGTACACGATCACCGAAGGAAGCCAAGGCCCGGCTACAGACCGGTGGCGTGCCACCCGGTAGCATACAAGTACGCGGTATTCTACTGCCACACGACGGCGACGAGCAAGGCGTACAGGGTGGGCCTAGTGGGGGCAGACAGCGCAGTTGGCGGAGGCTGTGGCGGTGTGCCACACCGACACCAAGGCGTGGAACCCCAACCACGTCGGCTTCAAGGTGCTCGAGGTGAAGCCCGGCTAGGTGCCGGTGTGCCACTTCCTGCCGGAGAACCACGTGGTGTGGAGCCGCAGCACTTGAAGTAGCTCATCCACACCCTGCTGTGTTCAATAATGGAGGAAATCATAGTCTCTATCTGTGTGTTTGAGAGAGAGAGAGAGAGAGAGAGGCAGCTATTTGCTTCTCGTGTTGCACACGTAAATGCATCTTCGTTATGTAACAACAACAATAATAATAGCAGCATTTGGAGCTCTATGTTTGTAGGAAAGATTACATATTTTGCTCTCTCAATACAATTGCAAGAGTTCAAGAAGGAAAGAAAGATATCTGATCTCCGAATGGATCTTTGATAGTAATAGCTAGTTGACATAAGGACAGCGAAAGCCATGGGTACCTTACTGTTACTACATGTGTAGTGTGGGACTTCTCGACCTTTCCATCTAAAGACGAGAAGTGGGCGGGGCACTTTTGATGGATAAACATATGGATGGGATAAAGGCAGTATCACATCAAGGTGTGGAAGGACGAGAGGGAACGGCATGGACGGATGAATGAGTTGCAACTGGCCTTTTGCTTCTCCTACGTTCTTGTTATTTTGGATCAATGGTGACTCACGTTGGGAATTAGCCGAGCTTTCGTCCCTCTGTCAGAGATCACATCGACGACAGGGAGTGATGGGAACAGCAGCTTGTTGTGACATCCACATTGAGACCTCCATGGCCGCCGTCTCACGCATGTATCCATCTCCATCTGCTGCGTAGGAAGAGCTACCAAACGGCGGCCGGAGAGAGAGAGAGAGAGAGAGATCAGTTCTGGCTTACTGTGAAAGCGAATAGGTGTATGTGGACCGGAAAAAAACTGTGAGTGGATCAAAATAGTTGACCACGGATACAAGTAGATAAGCTTAGGAATAAGAAAAGAGGAAGGGATTGCGGATGGATTGGATTGTTCGTAGGATTTTTCTGAGGGTGATGTCAACTTGTCATTGTGAACGGATTCCACACACACACGTTAAGATTTTTGGCCTCTCTCTCTCTCTCTCTCTCT